GGTTCTGATCAAGCAAGAAGTCAGTTTGAATGCACCTATTCTGACCCTTGTCATGCTTTGGGAGCCAATGTTTGAATATTGCTGAAATATTTAAAAAGCAGTAGTCTTGGATTGGGAAGCCATTACAGTAGTGGGAAGATTAAGATAAGCAACGGATTATGAAATGATACTAAATGGCACAACCAAAATGTCAGATCTCCAGAACACTACAAAGTCTCTCCACCTAGAGATTGGAAATCAGGTTGCTACCTCCTTGGTGTTTTGGGAAAGTTTAGGTCAGGAAAGAGTGTGATATGCTAGATTTCCTTAAGTAATAAATGAAAAAACAGATATGACTGTATTATTGCCCCAAAACAATGAACATATAATTTAATATCAGAAATGATGAGGTCAATTTTGACTACTTTATTATTAACTATTTTGTTTATTCTCTACCTTTTTCTATGAAGGATTAAGGCTGAATGTGAGAATTTAGCCTTATGTAATTATGTAAATTTCTTTCTTTCTCTACTTGGTATTTTCAGATCCACTGTCTCCACTCAAGTCATGATGCAATTCCTTTAATCCTTTCTACTGATCTATAAATAACCTGCATGTCAAGGCTCTTTACTACTCTGCTTTGGCTTGGTTCATTTCCCTATTAAAGAAGCAATCACAAGCCTGACTGTATTCAAGGGGAAAGGATTGCAGATCCTCCTTCTCAATGGGAAAAATGACAAATAATTTGCAGCCATGTATTAAGGATACCGTAGTCCACCCTCTACGCAGTATTTTTTCTTTTTTTAAAAAATGTGTTCCCTTCTAATGTAAATACACTTATCTTCTCTCAAAATCCCCAGAAACTTCATCCAATTACCTCATCAGGCTCGGGCTTAAGGTCTAGATCTCATCACCTAAGTCAGGTCCAAGTGTGGACAAGGCTCAGCAGAGTTAGCTACTCTCCTAAGGATGATTTCTTTATCTAGATCATTGAATTCATTAGGTACACTTCCTACATCCCTCATTACCACAGCAACAGTGATGCCAGACTTTTGACCACTACATAGCGAGGTGCCCTTCCCCGCTGCTTCCAATCACGTCTTTCTCATTTTCTTTCAAACTCACCGGCAGCCTCCACAAAACCCACTGGATTTCTGAACACCACCTGGTCTCAAAACCAATGCCTGTATTGTAGGTTTTGTTAAACCAGCATCCCACTTCCAGGTACCAAATTTTTTTCCGCTTATCTATTGTTGCACCCCAAACTTGCTGTCTTAATATAACAAATTTTTATTTTGCTCATGATTTGGTGTGTCAGGAATTTTGGGAAGGGCTTAATTCTCCCTTGGGATCTCTCATACAGTCAGGTGTTGACTGGGGCTTCAGAAAACCCAACTGGGCTGATAGTGGACACTAATTATCCTTGGGAGCCCAGCTGAGCCTGTTGGCCTGGACTCCTCCACATAGCTGCTACACAGAGCTTGAGTTTCTTACAGCATGGCGACAGAGTTCTGGTCTTGTTTGTATTAACTCTCTTGTTAACTTCTTACTTTCTCAGCTACTAGAGATAATTACCCCTGGGAAAGGTTAAAAAAAGCAAAACCAAAACAAACTTTGGATCGTAACTTCAAGCACTTCCTAAGTAAATACAATAATGAACTAAATCACCCAAAGAGTAATCAATTTAAAAAGAAAACAAATTAAAATTATTTACTTACTTATTTATTTTTGAGACAAAGTCTGGCTCTGTCACCCAGGCTGGAGTGCAGTGGTGTGATCTTAGCTCACTGCAACATCTGCCTTCCAGGCTCAAGCCATCCTCCCACCTCAACCTCCCAAGTAGCTGAGACTACAGGAGCACACCACAACATCTGTCTAATTTTTGTATTTCTTGTAGGGACAGGAATTCACCATGTTGCTCAGGCTGGTCCCAAACTCATGAGCTCAAGCTATTGGCCAGTCTTGGCCTCCTGAAGTGCTGGGGTTACAGGTATGAGCCATGGCCACCACGCCTCGACATAAAAATTTATTGAATGTTAAAATTGTGCTATTATTGTATACTTAATGACAGCAATAAGTATAGCAAAGAATAATTTGCATAATAAATATTCATTTTTTTCTAATTAGTACAATAATTGAATAGTAATCATCACCAAAGTAGGACAAAGGAGGGTTATTATCATAAAGGTTAGTTTGATCTTTCAAGATTTGATTACTTCTACCCAGACTCCACTTCATCCACTTGAACAAAGGTTCTGCTGTTCATCAATCAAATGTTAAGTATCTCTGTTGTATTGAAGTATTACCCTAGCTGGCCATATTCCACGTAAAGGGCAAATAACAGTTTCTCTCAGCAGATTTTGTAAAAACAAAACAGAAAAAAACATGTCTGTTTCATGAAAACACTTCTTTATGAAAAGATCATGGATGATAGATAAGTCTACGAAGGCACTAACACAGTTGGCAAAAGACACCAAAATACCTATAACACATCAGTGAAACTGACTTAGCATCATATTTACTCAAATGAAGGTATATATTCTTGCATGTTAAAAAATCCTTCACGCTTCTAGTAACCTCTGCCATAGTTTCCCCTCGTGCTTCTTTTAGTCCAACATTAGATATAATCAAAGAATTAAGTTTATCTTGAAACGAAGCCAGTAAGGCTATTTACAGTTCAGGGATGAAAAAATATATATCTATTTAGTGAATTTTGTGAGTCACTCATTTTAATCAGTGGCATTGGGATTAATCTGGAGACATCACTGAATTAATTTACTACTCAACACAGTTTTTTATTGAGTAATATTTATCTGCCAATTTCCTTATGTGAATTAAGACATTTACAAACTGAATTTGGAGTTCTGGGAAAAAGAAAGGCAAATTTCTTATCTTGCTCCAGAGAAAATAGTGGCATACACTCCTCTGTTTTGTTTACAGGAGAGTGGCAGTGGGTTTTCCCACTCTATACAAGGACACAAAGCATTTTTCTGTGGACCTACATTAGACTGGCTTTGAGATACAGAGGAGAGACTTATTTGATGAAGGAATAAGGTCTCCTGGTGAAAAGATTCTTGTCACAGGAAGAGATCTTTGTGAAGTTCCTGTGTGCAGTCAAACTTTAATAGCCCAAATTATGGTTTGCCATGGAAATAATATTGTAAATTATATTGAAAAGAAATGTATTAAAATTCAGGACAACTCAGTTATACAATGGTAGCAAACAAACTACTACCCAGAACGGTTATGCAGCATTATTGGTATAGTTAAGTATTATTTCATTTACTCCTCACAACAGCCCTGAAGGCGGGTAATGTTTCCATATTCTCCAGGTAAGAAAACTGAGGTTGAGTAAGTAACCCAAGACCTTTAAAAAAATGATGAAACTGTAGATGTACCTGATTCCAAATCTTTCACTTATGTAACAAATTTCAATTCTATGATGAAAAGTAAAAAAAAAAAAAAAAAAAAAAAAAATTACATAGATAAGAAAGATGTGTCCCAAAGTGAGAGAAACCAAAATTCTAAATTTTGTGTAAGAAAATTTATTTTATTATAATATTTACTCTAGAGATTACATATTGTACTACAACTTCATTAATGGTAGGAATTTAAATCACTTTAAGACATAATGAAAGAATGTTCTGAAGATCTTAGAAGAATATATTTACTTTATGACTTATGCTCCTTTATTTTTCTCTCCCTCCCTATTTTCCTGTCTTAATTTTTTGAATTCTCCAATTCTGTGTAGCTTTTGCATGGCAATATCAAGATTATCTTTTGGAAATGACTTTCAATTGGTGTTCTCAAAGTATTTATCTTATTGGAAGAAAAAACTGAAGAGCACGGAAAAATATTTTTCATTGTTCCCCAGTTAGGGTATAACTTTCTTTCTGCTAATACATTCCATCCACATTGACTCCATGCCATTAATTACTGGTACTAGCTAATATCTGACTTTCACAACTTTCACCCCAATAATAACATATTAAAGTTTCCTAAGTCAGAATTTAAGGGACAGAACCTACGTCTCTGGGGGAAAAAAAGTTTGATCCACTCATATACAATTGTGAAACCTTTTTTTGCAGAAAATATTCATACTAGTAACATTGGTAGTTGTTTAAAAAAAATTCAAATAGGCCAGGCATGGTGGCTCATGCCTGTAATCCCAGCACTTTGGGAGGCCAAGGGGGGCAGATCATGAGGTCAGGAGATCAAGACCATCCTGGCCAACATGGTGAAACCCTGTCTCTACTAAAAAAAATATATATATATAAATGAGCTGGGCATGGTAGTGCATGCCTGTAATCCCAGCTACTCGGGAGGCTGAGACAGGAGAATCACTTGAACCAGGGAGTTGGAGGTTGCAGTGAGCCGAGATCGTGCTACTGCACTCCAGCCTGGGGACACAGCGAGACTGTGTCTCAAAAAAACAAAACAAAACAAAACAAAATTCAAATAAAGAATCTCCATACTTCTCTTATTTTCACTTTCATAGTAAAATTTTTAACTTAACAATAAATAACAAGGTATCTCTTTGCTAGATGTCTCTTGGGCAAAGAGACTAGAACTTTTTGTATGTCAATGAATTATCTGGCGAAATTCTTAATAATTGTTCCTTCTTTTTAATTTGCTTATAAAAAGAAAAGTTTATGTATTAGTATTACCTAAAATGATCTAGGCCCTAGTTCTTCTTTGCAAACAGCAACATGAACATAATTGGTTGCTTATTAGAATTTCAAAAGTAACAATGATTAAAAAGGAACCATAAACTTTTCTCTTTCGTCTTTATAATTGTATTTACTTAAGTAATTTGGGCTTGCCTTTGACTCAACTGTTTTATATTCATTTTTTATTGTCTGCTACCTGATAAATCCTGGTGAGGCACATTTCCTCCAGGAAAGACAACAATCAATAATAGGAAGGCTTTTGGAAGACAATCATTAATGTTTAATATGTGACGCTGACTTAGTTATTCCATTAGCAAGTGTGAAATATTTTCTATACCTGTATTTACTCACCCACAAGTCCTAAAACAATGTAGCCAACAATACACAGTAGGAAGATCATACAGCACAGAACATCTGTACAACTCCTAAAGACAAGAAAAGAAAGAAAGAATTAAAAGAGGTCCCAAATGACTTCCTGCTTACTGCACAAAATGAAGAGAGAAAAACATAGTAATAGTGATATGCTATTTCATAATTGCATATTTATTCAATAATTTTAAAAGGTAGATCAGATGAATTTCTGCAAAGACGTTAGCAGCCATGGCGGGGTCATAGTTCCATGATTAACGAATGTCCCTCAGAACTCTTAGTATTTGTTTTCTCTTATTTATTTGTAAAATATTTTTAAAGATTAGAGTACGCCAACATCAGATAGCCATTTTTTATTTGAAATTGTAATATAAGCTATTTGATTTTATGATTTTCCTCTTCATGCCTCCTTCACACATGGTATAAAATACCCATTTCCCATCCCTCCTCTTCTCCATTTTCTTCCTACATACACATGATAGGGGTACTATTATTAGATAAAGGATTGACTACATTAACTTTCTATGGGGAGTTGAGTTATAACTATTCCAGTAACAATGTACATAGAGCATTCAAAATAAAATGTCTCAAAAGTATCAGTTTTCTAGCTGTCTCTGTAAGCTATATATTGTCAATGTAGGTTTAGAGGAAATCTGATTCACAGGGAGTCTGTGATTTGCTAAAGGTCAGAAGCCAAGCCAGCATCCAGCAGGGATACTCAAGGTTTTCAACTAACGTATTTTCTATCTGCAATATTACATCTTATTTAGCTTATAAGTGGCTTGGAAAGTCAAAGGTATGGTTTGAAAGTGAGCAGCAATACTGTCATTCTTTATTTGAAACTTAATGAGGACTCCTTTAGTAAAGAAAAAGATCAGCTCATTTGACAGGATTAAAAGTTGCACATGAGAATTTTCATGGTAAAACTTCTTGATCTTGAGGGCATACAGATATACCCTAATCTTTTAGCACAGGCAGGTTGAAGTTACACACTTATTTTTTGAAGTGGTAAGTAATGAATAATAATTGTACAGTAACAAACACACATTTATAAAGCCTGTCATACTTGTATTGCTTTCAGAAATGTAACCTTGAGAGATTCCTAAGAATATCTTTAGGCTATTAGGGGTAGTAAAGTGAGTTTGCTTACTTAAGGTACGTGAAAGAGGTTGTTAAAGAAGGGGGCAAATATCTAGATCTCCAACGCCAACTCTTTTTCACTTGTGAGTTATGTTAATATGATTATAATTTTCTACAAAGTTTTAAAATAGCTACATCTAAAATCAACTACACACATTTCTATAATTCTTTACCTTGGAATAGGAAACGATCTTTCATCAAGAAAGTTAATTGTGGGCAAACCAGAAACAAACTATCATTTGTTTAAACCAAGTTTCAACGCAGGAATTTTAACTTTCATTAGAATTTAAGAATTATAAGAATGATAATAACAAGAGAAGAAAGCAGGTGCTCTAGTTTTTTTGTTGTTTTTTTTTTTGTTTTGTTTTTTTGTTTTTTTTGGTTAACAACCATTGAAAGCAAAAACGTGCTTGGGTGTGAGCAGGGTATCTGTTTCACCTGCATTCTTACACATCCTACTTAATATCAGATTCTCAATCTGTCAGAGCAGTTGTTACATACCTCAACACCTAACAGAAAATGCATGCAGGTAAGAAACTCAAAGAGAAAAAACAAGAGCATAGATGTGCTTTAATTAGAAATCTTGCATTTGTCAAAGCCCTGGTGTGTAATCATAACTACCAGGAAGCTGGAGAGATGGATGTAAACAGAAGCACCAGCCAGGGTGGCCCGCCATCCCGTCCTTATATATCTATAATGTTATATGTTTGTATTGTTTCTAATAATACGGACTATAACACATAGAGTAGTCTCCCCTTATTCGCAAGGGAGACATGTTAAGACCCCCAGTGGATGCCTGAAACTGCGGATGGCCCCAAACCCTATATTCTGTTTCTTCCTATACGTACAGACCTATGAAAAAGTTTACTTTAAAAATTAAGCACAATTAAGAAATTAACAATAACTAATAATAAAATAGAATAATTATAACAATATGCCGCATCACTACTCCTGTGCTTTGGAGCCATTATGAAGTAAAATCAGGGTTACTTGAATACAAGCACTGCGATACTGGGACAGGCGATCTGACAAGCAAGATGGCTAACAAGTGGCAAACGGGAAGGCAGGATAGGTGGCCTGGATAGCATGGAGACACTGGACAAAGAGATGATTCACATGCTGGGTGGGACAGAGTTTGATGGCATGAGATTTTTATCATGCTATTCAGAACAGTGGGCAATTTAAGACATAAATTATTTATTTCTAGAATTTCCTACTTCATATTTTCTGTGCATCACGGATGGCCACAGATGACCTCGGATAACTGAAACCTCAGAAAGCGAAACTTCAAATACGGGAGAACAATTGTATTCATAATGACTTTATGTTACATACTATCATAAGGTTATGTATTTATAATGCTACATAGTCAATACAAGTAGAGGTAAACATCTAGAAAGATCAATGAAATAAACTTACCAATTTCAAAGAACAGAGCACAAGGACAGAGCAGAAGCACATCCCAAATGGAAGGTTTCTGTTTGTTTGTTTGTTTGTTGAGCCAGAGTCTCACTCTATTGCCCAGGCTGGAGTGCAGTAGTGCGATCTCGGCTCACTGCAACCTCCGACTCCCTGGTTCAAGCGATTCTCCTGCCTCAGCCTCCCAAGCAGCTTGAACTACAGGCACATGCCACCATGCCCCGCTAATTTTTGTATTTTTAGTAGAGATGAGGTTTCACCATATTGGCCAGGCTGCTCTCGCACTCCTGGCCTCATGATCCGCCCACCTCAGCCTCCCACAGTGCTGGGATTACAGGCGTGAGCCACCGCGACCAACGGAAGTTTTTAAAAAAGTAAAACCTATACTCTTTCACTACTTGCACTAATGAATGAGCATCAGTTAGTGTTTTGGTTCTATATAGGGTTTTACACTATAATTTATTTTTTATTCTTCGGTGCCAAGGAAACACTAAAGCATCAGGAACTACCCTGTGCCCACACAACCATTCCCCTAGCCGTCTCTCTTCACGATGGGACACCTTAATAATTCACAATAATTCACACCTTAAGCTGTTTAGAGATTCTATTCTGGGGCCAGGGAAAATAATATATTAAAATCTGCTTTGTTTTTCTGGTACACTGCTTTAGAAAAATGGCAGACCATACCCTATGGCCAGACTGCTTAATTTTGTCTTACTTAACCACGGAAGGTTGTTGAATAAACTGAAAATTATAAACCGAGAATTTAAATCTCCCCAGTTTCGGTAGCAACTTGATTCACTTTATTGTTTTAGAAAAGTTTTTAAATAGGGTTGTGTGTGTGTGTGTGTGTGTGTGTGTGTGTGTGTGTGTACTTTCAGGTAATTATAATTACCTGCTATTTTTTCTATTAATTTATCTGCATCTCTCCCTTCCTCAGATATATTCTCTCTAAAAAAATAATTAGTGCTTAGAAAGTTACCGGAAAATTGAATGTGAACAAATCAAAACATAGCTTGGGCACCATTTTGTGAGTCAAGGAGAGTAGCAGAAACTCAATTCAAATGTTTAGAAGCTGTAGTTCCTTATCACTGTTTCTTTCTTTTGATTTCAGAGCATCTGTCACAATTCTAAATATTCTATAGGAAATGAGTTCTTTTTTTAAGAAAAAATCAGGTTTTAATTGGGATAGTTCTCAAACCTCTCTAGATAACTGGGTGATCTAAGCTCACGGACAAAAATTATCTGAATCATGTTCCAGCTAGAGGCTTGTCATAACTGGACCTTTTCCTCAGGTGGATTCATTTTTGCTTTCACAGCAAGCACTATGAAGCATTGTACTAAGCTAAAAATGGGCTGCATCCCACTGGGTCCCAGAAAGAAGACAGAAAGAATAGTTATAGAGAAAGTTGCCCAACTCTCTCCCTCACCCTCCCTCCAAATCAAAGTCCTACTTTTTCAAAACAAGCTGCTCACACCCCCATTTATCAGAGAACCACTCAAAACTTTACTCAGATTGTGTTTCCCTGGCATAAAAGTGTTTTCAAAAGTTAAACTATGGACCTACTATTGCTACCTTATATCTATTTTCCAAATTAAAAGAATAAGAATAGGATTCCAATTACATGTGCATGTGCAGACTTCCCTTTCCTCCCACCTCTAATCCCCAAATATTGTATGCCTATAGTCACCCAGACTTAAAGTGTTGGGAGTTTCCTTTGACTTTCCCTTTTTCTTAGCTTATCTTTTATATTCAATTGACAAGTTCTCTTGACTCCTTTTCTCTGATGTGTCTTTCATCCACCCCTTTCTTTCTATTCGTGTTGCCTGGATTCAGTCCAGGGTTTTTAATCCTCTCTTCAGACTATTGCCATGGTCTCTTAATTGGGCTTCTGCAAGTAGTTTCTGCCTGATCCAATTCAGTCTGCACATCACTGATATTACTGAGACGTGATGATGTCAGTTTACTGTTTTAAAAAATTGCAGGACCTCTCCATTACCTGTTGAATAATTTCCAAATATCTTCGCTTCATGTTTAAGAACCTACAAGCTCAATCCTAATTCAAGCCCCAGGCTACCTTTCTAGCTGTATCTCCCATTATTCCTTCTCAATGTGTTTTAACCAATTTGGACTTTTTCACACAATGATACACAGCCCTTGGGCACACTCAGAGCTCTCTGCTCATGGTACCTCTAGACTCCCCCTCCTGGGATAACCATATGTCCCAATTTGCATGGGATAGCCAGGGTTTACACCTCTTTCCTAGAATAACCGTTAACAATGTTTCCATTCACTCTCAAAAAAGCTCCAATGTGGATCCCCACATCCTACACGAAAATCCTATCCCTCAAGTCAGCTCAAATGTCATCTCCTTCTTGAAGTTTTCAACTAGAAGAACTCTCTCTAATCCCTGTAGACCTAGAGAACTTTTGTTTGCATCTTTAAGGCAACTATATTTAATCTATTATAGCATAGAACGAGGGTAGCAAACTACAG